ATAGAATTTGCTTGTTTAAATTGATTTTGGCTGTACATGTTCCGTTAACACACTTGCTAGTTTATAAACTTTACAAAAATTGATGATTAATATTTAAGATAAATGCTCTTTGCCTTGTAAAGTTGAATAAAGTCTGAGAGTGTTTCATGTTGCTGACACAGTGACATTAACTGTTTTCTACTGTGCATTTTCTCACTTTTCTGAATATATTGGGTTTTGTTATGGACAGGTTGCTAGTTGCCCATTTGATGACCACAATTGCCCACCAATCCAACTCATTAAATCGTTTTGTCAAAGTGCTTACTCTTGGTTGAAGGAGGACATTGAGAATGTTGTGGTTGTGCATTGCAAAGCGGGAATGGCTCGGACTGGTTTAATGATTTGCAGTCTTCTCGTGTACTTGAAGGTGACACTTGATAAACCTCTGGGACTCATTAAGGGTCCAATCAGTTTTGTTCCATTCCTCTGAACTTCTGGTTTTTATTTATGGATTACAAGACTAATCAATCTCTGTTTAACCTCTACAGTTTTTCCCAACTGCTGAGGAGTCAATTGATTACTATAATCAAAAAAGATGTTTTGACGGAAAGGCTCTTGTTCTGCCAAGTCAGATTGTCAGTTCTTACTCAATCGACTTATGCTCCTCTTGCCAAATTGTCTTGTTTTGTAGCATTTTGTAATTTAGTTTCCATTAATATTTTACAGAGGTATGTCAAGTATTTTGAACGAACATTAACATACTTTAATGGGGAGATTCAGCCTGGGCGTAGGTATGACACTTTCTATTCGATGTTTGTCAATAATTACTAGACTGTTTCTTTTTACTAAATTTGGTATATATCCTACTTCCAGGTGCATGCTTAGGGGATTTCGACTTCACAGGTGTCCTTATTGGATCAGACCCCATGTAACTGTCTCAGACCACAATGGTATGGTGCATGTGTTTGTTATCTTGAATAATATGCTCTGAATGTTAAAAAATCTGCAAGTCTAACAATTAAAAATATCTACTATCTGCATTGTGCTTTAATTTTATGATAATAACTGACATCTTGTAAAACAGTTACGGGGTATTAAAATAACTCTAGATTATTTGGATCTTTCAGTAAATTTCTTAAAATAAAAAAATGAGTTACCTTGTCACTTTGCAAAACATTTTGAATTGTAGAGCAATATCTTATATTGCCTTGTTACAGAGTACATTTCATTCCTGTCTTTTATGAAATATTACGATGTATATTTCACTTTTGAGGCCTGATCCTTGACTGTTGTATGAAGCATCACTATATTGAGTGTTTGAAACTCATCCTCTATGTGAATTTTGGAGTGATTCTTGTACAGTTGTACTGTCCCCTCCCCTCCCCTCCTTGGAAACTTACATACCAGTTTATTATATTAATTGTTCTACATTACTGGGGACAGGTGTTCTTTTTTCTACGAAGAAACATCCAAGAACGAAGGATCTGTCGGTAAGTTGCTTGATAAGTTGATATCATTAGAATTGACACAGAAATATGTCCGTGTCATTTGAATTTGGATTTGAGCTGGAATTTTGTTAAGTCGTACCATTTTCTTGGCAGACGGAGGATTTCTGGTTTACTGCACCAAAGAAAGGAATTATGGTGTTTGCTTTGCCAGGAGAGCCTGGACTAACAGAGTTGTCTGGTGACTTTAAAGTCCTCTTTCATGATCGACAAGGAGATTTCTATTTGTATGGAACCTTACTATGTCTAAACCCTTATTTTATGTGCTCTTTATCAGTGCCATTGTTTATAATTTACATGTGTCTGACAGTTGGCTAAACACAACAATGATAGAAAATAGAAAGATCTTAAACACCAGTGATATGGATGGATTTGATAAGGTAAGCACCGACCTTTCAGAGGTTGTTTGATGTACTTGTAAGCACCACTTTTTTGTATTAAACACTTCTTCAAAAAGTCTGATTTGTTCTGTTTGCGAATTACCTGGATTTCTTAGTTATTGTTTTTTGTTTTCATGATTACCAAGGATAATAAGTTTTTTTGCAATTCACCAATAAGAAAATTAAAAAATAGTGGCCAAAAAGAATTTCCCTTCTATAAAAGTAGTTTCTAATTTATTGTTGTTAGTTTTCGAATTTAACATTTTACGCAACCTATATCATATGACTTGGAAATTCTCAAAATCAATACTTTTAGTTGACAAATTATATCCTTTTTAATATGCTGATTTTGTATGTATTTTTTGGGCTTGTACAGCGGAAGCTGCCTTCCCCTGGTTTCCAAGTTGAGGTTGTTCTTGTAGACTATGATGGCACTCCTCCATCTCCTACACCTCAGCCTGAACCTGTGGTCCAGAAGCCCAATGACCAGACTGGCCCCCCTTCTGAACAAGTAAATGAGGTCTCGTCTGCTTCAGAAGCTAGCAAAGATTCTCAAGCTCAAGCTCAAAGTGAACAAGAAGACAAAGATGATGTGTTTTCAGATGACGAGGCCGATGGATCAGGCTCGTCAAGGAGTAGAAAGGCTCAAGCAGCTTCTTCAGCAGATACAAAAAAGTCAACTGCCCCTCCTGCTGAAACTAAGTCCACTTCAGATCAGAAGGTGGATGGTTTGACACAAAAAGTTGAAAAAGTATCGCTTGGTAAAGGAGGATCGACAGAGGTCCATTCAGTAAAAGAGTCTAAAAGCGAGGCTGTTGGAACTGGAGCTGCCCTCTCAGCTCCCAACTCTGAAGGGGTTAGTGATTTCAAAGCAATGGCTGCCGATGCTTCTGTCTTTTCCTTTGGTGATGATGAAGATTATGAAAGCGACTGAGCCACTGGGGTTTGTTGCTCGATTTCTTCAATTCAGCAATCTGTACATAAAAAATTTCTATACCATAGCAAAAGCACTTCTTTGTTAAGGAAGATCCTGCCCTATTCATTTTATGTTCATGTTACTTTGGAATGTCAATTTGTTTTTGTGGCTCATCCATTGTGAACTGTGGATAAAGATTTTTGTTGTAGTTTGTACTTTTTTTTTTCTTTTTCGGATGTTCGTTTGTAATCTCTGGCTTTGTACACAATGATATTTATTTTGGTACAAATCAAACAATTTTTTTAAGACATCCTTGATTCCTTCTCTCTTGTAGTTGGAAGAATGAGTTGTGATTAACTGAATACATTTATGGCATCAGTAAAATGTAGTCAAAATCAGCAGCAAATAACAGTCACAGTGAAACATACTTCCATTAGTTCCATAGCACTTAAGTAAGTTTAGTGTGCGAGAAATGTCACATTAACTATGGTAATACTGTTTTGTTTTTGATATACTTTATACTTCTTATTGAAATTAGTTATTTTCCTTGAATATATTTATATTTTTATTGGTTTATATAAATTATCACGCCCCCTCACATGAGAGTCCATTGAGTTTGAAATGTGGATGCAACATGAGCCTCTCCATACCCAACGCGAAATATTACACTTGAAAGTGAGTGTGGATGAGATTTGAACCCGTGAACTGTGTTACATTAGCTCTGATACCATGTTAGAGGACCAAGTCAAAAAAAATCTTAAGCTAATGATTGAAGCCCATGATTGGTTTATATACTATATCAATTATGAACAGCTAAAATGTTTGTAACCTTATAGATTCGGAATTTCGGAGTTGAAGCCCGTATTATACCAAAAAAAAAGGTAAAGTGGACCCTAAAAATCTAAAATTGGTTACTTTGATACGAGTTACAAACCAAAACCGTACCGCTTGTTTGTTTAGAGGGATAGAAGAGGGGGATAGAATAAAAGAGGAGGGATTCAACAAGTCTTTTGTTTGTTTAGAGGGATGGGGATTAGGAGAGGGGTAGGCGAGCAATAAAAAAGGGAGTTACCCCTCCCAATTAACAACTAAAGGGGTGGTATAAGGGATGCAGATTAAATTTAATGGATAAAAGACATTTTTACTCTTAATGAAAGAGAAAGAAAAAGAGAGTGAAGAAAGGATAATAAGGGTAATTTTGTATTTTTATTAGTCATTTCAATCTAATCCCAACCCATACTAAGGCCTTGTTTAGTTCACCTGATTTAAGCTAATCTGATCTGATCTGATCTGAACTTATATTTTCTGATCTGATCTGAACTCATTTTTTCTGATCTGATCTAATCTGAACTTATTTTTTCTAATTTGAACTTATTTTAATTATTTAAATATTCTACTTTTAATGTTAATCAATATTAATGTTTAATTATTATTGTTATGATTATTATTACTATTATTATTATTATTTATTATTATTATTATTATTATTATTACTATTACTATTACTATTATTATTACTATTACTATTATTATTATTATTATTATTATTATTATTATTATTATTATTATTATTATTATTATTATATGATATTATATTATATTATTATTATTATATGATATTATATTATTATTATTATTATTATTATTATTATTATATTGTATTATATTATATTATATTATATTATTATTACTATTATATTATTGCTTGCAGACCAAGGTTAAGGCTAAAAATGCGTAAATTATAAGCAACAGTCATGAAATTTACGACTCTTCAGTCTTCACTGTTTAAGCTTATTCAGGCAAAGAGTTCTATCACCACTCTGACCACCTTATTTTCTCACGTAGTCAACCCATAGAGAGAGTGATAATGGGTCAATTTTGGTCTCTTTTCCAAAAAAAATTAAGATTTTTTGATGCATTAGTAACAAATAATAAATAGATAAATAAACGATGGGATTGTATGTTATTCGAGTAAATCAAGTCCGAATATGACCACTTACACACATATATGTTTTTAACTTCAAGTAAGGTAAGGAAAATGATTCATAATTAACCTTATTTTCAGCTATATAAGTTTAGCTTTTCAATTCATGTAGCAAATGCAGCATATAAATGATTTTTATTTTAATTAACCTTTTGGAATGATTTAATTATTTTTTTACTTTGTTTTCTGTTTTTTAATTTTTCACTTTTTCAAATTTTGACCTTGCTTTTTTTTTTTTTTCCCATAACAACTGTCTATCTCTTTTTTTGTACTCACACTTTCTCTCTCCTCTCTGTTTTTTGTGCTTACTTTACACTCTTCACCATTGTTGCTACTCTTCACCATTTTTTTTTATTTTAAATTACTTTTTCTGTAATCTGAATTGGGTTTCTCAGTACTGTAATTTTACTGTCAGTCAATTCTAGAAATCTGAATTGGGTGACAAAAATATTAATTGGGAGTATTGGTAGTTTGGTACTACAGTTTTTTTTTTTGTGTATATATATATTTTTTCGTATTGCAATATCTCTTACCTACAACACATCAATCTCTCCCAAATTTTGTCCTTCTGTTGGTCATTGTAGTAGCTTGCTCGTATACAATCTCGTCGACAGGTAAATGCCTTTAACTCTTTGTTATTTTTTTTTATTATTTTCATAATTTCATCTACAATCATGACTTCATCTGTTGGGCGTCTATAGTATACAGTTGAATAATTTCAAAATTTATTTTACATACATACGAAGTACACATTTGGGAGCTTATAATTGAACTTATAACTTGATGGAAGTTACGTGTAGTTGATACAATACTTCAACACTTATAATTATAATTGAACTTATAATTTTACATACTACGTAGTTACGTAGTATAATTTCGTCTACAATCATCACTTCATCACACACCCACCACACACACCCACCACACGCACCCACCCTTCCACCAGCCCCCCCATCCCCACCACACGCACCCACTGCACACACCCACTGCACATACCCACCACACACACCCACCACACGCACCCACCCTTCCACCAGCCCCCCCATCCCCACCACACGCACCCACTGCACACACCCACTGCACATACCCACCACACACACCCACCACACGCACCCACCACCCCCGAAAACACCCAAACCACCCAAACCGTCCGAAATTAACCACAAATCCCAGATCCCCACCATCACCACCCCCCACCTCGGCATTCCCAACCCTCCCAAACCACCACCGTCACCACCCCAACCGTCCAAAACCTACCACAAAAACCAACCAAAAATCGAATTTCAACAATTTAAAAAAAAAAAAAAAAATTAAAATCACGAAATCTTACCTCAAAATCTGAAATAGGTTCGAACTTCACCTCAAACTTGGTTAATAAGGCCAAATTCGACCAAGAAACCTCTAGCTTTAGAGTTTTCTTGGTCGAAATTGACCTTAAAAACCTTTAAAAATGACAATAGATGCTTTGTTAATGGAGGCTTGGTTAGTGGTTGATGAGAGAGAAGAGAAAAGGAGGAGGAGGAGAACTCAATCGAAAATAGAGAGGAGAAGGAAAAGATATCAGAGGAGGAAGGTAAAGAGATATTACGGGGAGAAGAAGGAGGAAGGAGGAGAGGAGAGAGAAAGGGGAAAAAGGCAGAGGAGAGGAGAGAGAAAAGAGAAATGAAAGGGGAGGGGAATTAGGGTTTTCGGGTTTTTATGGTTGTTTTTTTTTAATTTTAGGGAAATTGTTATATTGAAGAGGAATGGAAAATTAAATTATAAAATTCGGTAAACTCTTGTTTTGTGCTTGCGTGAACTTTGCGGTTGATGTGATGTAACCATTACAATTTACGCCACTAGTTCTGAAAACCCATTTATTTTTATTTTTTTTTTTAAATAAAAATAAATTGCAAAATAATAGAAAGAGGATTGTGAGAAAACCAAAAATATGGCCCATGCAGGGATCAAACCTGGGACCTTCGCGTTATTAGCTCGACGCTCTAACCAACCAACTCAGCTAATGGGCAATTTGATGATAATCTATGTCCTTGGTTATCTGGTCCTAGTTTCTCAATAGATGTTAGAAGTGGAACGTATATATTTTTTGATGAAGAAGAAACGTAACGTATATATTTATGTACTTATTTTGATTATCTATATCCTTCATGCATGAAACTAATAATTTTAAAGTGCTCTTGATCATAGTGTAATGGCTGGTAGGGTAGCATGGTCTGATGACAGTACAGAAATTTTTTTGGACATATGCTTGGAGATGAGGGCAGGTGGACTATCAAAGGTTAATTGGGATAGAATAGTGAGTACTTTGAACGTTAAAAGTGGGAAGAATTTCAACATTAAACAAGCAAGAAATCATTGGGATGATTTAAGGAAAAGGTTCAAAATTTGGAATGAAATGGAACTCAATTGGACCGGTCTTACATTTGATCCTATTACTGGTTGTCCTGTAGTTGAACAAGATGATAGGTGGAATATATTTGTGAAGGTACGGCATTTTGTTTATCCATTTTGTTGCATTATGACCTCTACAATACTAGTTTATTTTAAAATTTATTTAATCGAAGTTTTGTGCATTTATGCAGAAACATAAAGGTCTGCCAGCGAGATTCCTAAGGAGACCATTGCCTCATCTAGAGAAGTTACGGGCACTTTTTTCAGGGTCTTTTGCTACTAGCAAATGGAGTTTTTCTCCCGGATTAGGTGGGGAACAAATTGGTAAAGAAAATGAGGAAAGGTCCGGGGACAGTGATGAAAATATAGGAGATATGGAAATAAGTAGGGGAATAAATAATTCGGATGATGAACAGAGCATTTCACCTCCTAAAAGTACCTCGTTGGGGAAACGTAAGAGTGATGGGTGTACTAGTAAACTTAAAAAAAACAAGAGTAGTAACATTGACTCTTGTATAGAGTTGTTGAAAATGTCTATTGAAACTAATTGTAAGCAAGGGAGTGGTAATAAGTATAAAGATGTCTCAGATGCTCTATACAATATTGAGGCTATTGTTCAACAAGGAGAAGGATTTATTTACCAATGTATGAATTTTCTTCATCATGGCGATAATGCAGATTTCTTCTTAGGTCTCTGTACTGATGATCAGAAGATCATGTATTTGAAGACAGCATTTCAAGATCCAACATTGGGTGGTCCTTAATTAGTTTTTTGGGGAGATGAGTATTTGAAGTTAACTTTGGATTATGTTTTCCTATGACTTGTTTTGCACTTTCATATGTTCTTTGTTAGTTATTTGATGTTGTTCTAGTTTTAATTAAGGTTCCACATATGAAGCTACTATTTTTTCTGACCTTTAGGTTTAAGTAGCTTCATATGATGCTATTGCTTTTCAGGTGATCTAATTAAGAAGCTTTAGCCTTTATTTTAAAAGTCATTGTTGATTTTATTTTACAAATTGAATAATGTTGGTATTTTGTTGGTTTATGTTGTAGAATGGATAACACACTTCCAATGTGCTTGACAATTATCGCATTGGAAGAGCTAAAGAGACTTCTTACACCAATTGAGAGATTGCCTCTAAGGTTAGGTGGAGAATCTGGTAGCGAATACATAAACAGACTACTACATGCCCATCCTGATTTATGCAAAGAACAATTGAGATTAGATAGAAACATATTTGTGGATCTTGTTACTTGCATGAAAAATAAAAATTTATTATCGGATGGTCGTTACATATCTGTGGCTGAGCAATTAGGAATATTTTCATATAGGCTAAAGGCAGTTCTTATCGTGATGCTGCCGGTCGATTTCAGCACTCTATTGCAACAATTGGGTTGTACTTTAAACAAGTACTGGAAGCAATGGTTCATTTGTCTACCGAGATCATAAGACCATACCAAAGTTTGACCGTGGTGCCAAAAAAAAATAGGTGACAGCACAAAATATTGGCCATATTTCAAGGTATTAAGAAACATTATTATTATCTTGCATTGTCATTATATTATTTTATGCATATGCAATATATAATCACTTATAAAATGTATCCTAAATGTTAATGAACTATTAGGATTGTGTTGGAGCATTGGATGAGACTCATATAAATGCAGTTGTAAGCGATGATGATGGTGTGGCACACCGAGGGCGTAAAGGAAAAAAACATGGAATGTTTTGGCTGCTTGTTCCTTTGATAGGCTTTTCACGTTTATCAACGTTGGATTTGAAGGTAGTGCTCATGATATTACTGTATGGAACCATTGCTTAACTGTACCAGAATTTCGGTTTCCCCATCCACCTCCAGGTATAATTTAAAATAGTGTATGTTTTTACTCCATACATGACACTATACTAATATGCTATATAATTTTATTTTGTAACAGGAAAATATTATCTAGTAGATTCTGGATATCCGAATACCGTTGGATATTTGAGTCCAATAAAAGAAAAAGATATTAGAACCCATTTGCCTGAATTTCGAAATGGTCCACCACCACAAGGCATGCTTGAACTTTTTAATTATCTTCACTCTTCACTTCGAACAACGATCGAGAGATGTTTTGGACAATTAAAAGGTCGATGGAAAATATTGACAATGATGCCACAAATGGACACTAAACATCAATTGACAATTATGGTTGCTACATTCACACTTCACAATTTTATTCGATTACATGAGTTGGATATACCCATTAATAGTGGTATAGAAATCGAACCAAGAGCAGATTATGATTTGTTTAACGAGAATCGTAAAGCTGTAATGAAAGAAGTACAACTTAATATAGCGAAGGAAATTTGGAACGTCTTGAAATGAAAATTATATTTGTAAACGTTTATGATTTGGAGCTTATAATGAAATTTTAATTATTATCGTTTATTGTTTGTGCTATTTAATAACATAGACAATGTTGCTAGTTCAAACAAACGATAAAATCAAATCCGATACATCATAAATCAATAATAATAATAATAATAATAATAATAATAATAATAATAATAATAATTTGATCTGAACTTATTTTTTCTGATCTGATCTGATCTGAACTTATTTTTCCTGATCTGATCTGATCTGATTTGAACTTATTTTTTCTGATCTGATCTGATCTGAACTTATTTTTTCTGATCTGATCTGATCTGAACTTATTTTTTCTGAAATAAGTAAAAATAAGGTAAACTAAACAGGCCTAAACCCTCTTTCTTTCTCTTCTCCGGCGAGTTGGCGACCGGCGTACAGTTTGAAGCAGAAACTCCGATTTGCTGCAAGCGCACTTCATCTCCATTTTCTGCGGTAAAAGCCCCCTTTTCTCTCTTTGAATTTGATTTGTGTTTTTGGGTTCATCTGGAATTTGAACACATGTAAATGATAAACATTTAAGGAAATAACAAATTTTCTCATATAACCACTGCCACTCAACAAGACAAACCAGGCAAACTACAATACAAAGTTCATCAGAATTCAGAAACCAACTTCATTTTATGTCCTAAGGATAGCCCAGAAAGAGTTTGGTCAATAAGATGACAAAAATGGTGTTAGCGATTTTACCCTTTTTATATAAAGATAATTAACTCAAATTTTGTTATTAATGTGTTGCAAAACCCTTGAAATTTTTACATTGTTTTTGCAATTGTTGTTTGTAGTATTTAAATTACTTAATTTTTGTTGGACCATAGTTTAATATCAAATTTACTGTATTTATTTAACCTTGGCTTTCATTTATTTAATTTTGATGTCTATATGAAAAAATTATGATTCAGCTGAATAGTCCATGGCAAACAGCAAATATGAGTATGTTAAGTCCTTTGAAGTTCAAGACAAAATTATGCTGCCCACTCTACTTGTTGTTGTCATCGATGGCCGGAATTTTCGAAGGTGATTTCTCTTTATTCCTTGCTTTAAAGATGGTCTTCTACACTTCTACCTAGATGACTCCTGTATCTTGATTATATTAGCCACTTATTCGAGTATATATCCTCTTTGCTTGATTATAATAGCCACTTATTTATCTGTTTATTAAGCATTGCTGATAATCATTTTACCAAGATTTACACTCATTCCTTTGTTAGAGTTCGACTAGAGTATTCACGGCCTCACGGGACATTAATGTTAGCTTACATACTATCGTATACTCTCTCTACTTGGTATTTTATATGATCTCTAAGACTGGCCCCATAATTGATGATTGATACGAAGGCCTATTGTTGTTAGATTTTTTTCCCCTTCGTTTCATAATATAGATAGAATAATGTAAATAATGCTACACTTGTATAATTTTCCGAATTTACTCTCTTTTCTTCCATTTATCAGCATTTCATATCCTCATGCAACATTTAAGAAGCATATTGAAGTTATTTACCATTTCTTTTAATGGATTTGAGGGGGTCTAGTTAATGCTCTACAAGCTTCAACTCCCTTTATTATAAAAGGTTTATAATTCCTTCACAACACGATCATGTAACTTACTATTGGTTCACCGGAGAACTGTGGAGCTGACTGAAGTTTATTTGCTGGAGGACTTGCTTCTATTTAGAGTTTGGATAACTCTTTTTTCTTTTAGTTGCTTTCTTTGCTAAAATTAAGCTGATAAATTTTCTTGAGTGGTTGAAAGTGTATTGATTGTCACAATACGAAGGTTATTTTCATACTGTCTATGTGATGAAGTGTTGAAGGCTTGTATTCTTAACTACCCTTCTAAAACACCTTTATTTTTTTCCCCCTTTTCAGCTTTGTTGTTGGTAACTAAGTTTCATTTACCTGGGTGAACTTGATATGACAGGTTCTCTGAAGTTCATAAATTTGAGAAGCCTTGTGATAGAAAAGCCTTGGAGCTGATGATTTCATGCGCTGCTGCTGTCATGAAGGAATACACTGACATAATATTTTCATATGGATATAGTGATGAATTTAGGTACCTGTAACTCTCACTTTACTATAGGTACTTACTTGCTATACTTTGAAATGTTGAATCTGATATTTATCAACTGGTTGTTGCTGTTGCTCTTTGCAGTTTTATATTGAAAAAGGAATCCAAATTTTACCAGAGACGTGGAAGGTTTGTGGTTGAATCTACATTCAGATGTTAGTACCTGGGTTCACAAATTTCCATGTTGACATACATGTTATTAGTTGCTGTTTGAACATGATTTTCATATTCTTTTTTATTTCTCAATAGAAAATTCTTAAAATTTTCAAACATCTCTTTTGCAGTAAGATATTGTCCCTACTTGTGTCATTCTTCACTTCTGTGTATACCATAAAATGGAACGACTTCTTTCCACATCAGAAATTGCTCTATGCACCTTCATTTCATGCACAAATCATTCGATGTCCAACTTTGGAGGTTCTTCAAACTTATCTTGCATGGAGGCAGAATGATTGTAAGTAATTTACCTCATGGCTAATTGCTTTGAAGCTCTGATGTTTCCATTATGAAGCTATAAATACTGTTATTATATGGGGTGCTGTTACCTCAATGTATGTTTTCTCTTTGTTTCGTAGGTCACCTCAACAATTTATACGATACATGTTTTTGGAAGTTGTTTGAAAGAGAAAAGAGTGAAACTAAAGCCCATGAATGTCTCAAGGTGCTGCCAAATTAATTCTTGTATGCATATGGTGTCTACATGTTAAAGGATATAACAGACGTGTGAATTTAATGAATGCCTGGTGCATTTGTCGCATATAGTAAAAATGTTTAGAGTTTAGTATTTTACTATTTATCCATTTTGTTTGATTTATCCTTAGTAGTGTTATCGTTCACCTATGATATTCGTAAAGTTGTAATTTCTTTTGTGGTTAGGAATTTGAGGATGTAGATTATTCAATCTCCAGTCTACTGCAAACAATGTCAGTAGCACAATGCCCCAATCTATATTGGTCATGGTAATGAGGTGTTGCGTTTAATTGGGAATCTTTATCAAATAAAGGCGTATTTTTTATGGTTGCTTGTATTACTTGAATTCTGGCAAGCTAAGCCAAATAATTCTGTAATGAGATCATAGAGATGAAACCTTATTAATCTTCACTGTTGATATATCTTAGAAATTATGCCATGCTGTAGTACAGAAGTTATTAACTGTTGCTTTACTTTATCACTTGATGCTCATATGTTACAATTATCTTCGCCTCTTATGTATATCTGTTCGCCAAATTTTAAATTTATTGACTTTCTGATAATCTGAATGATAATGAGGGTGACTACTAATATTTTCTAGATTCATAATCTATCTCTTGCTTTCATTGTCAGAGACACAGAGCTATGTGGGAGGTTTGATAGTTTTCAGATTACTAGATTTATGTGTGTTGCATAGTAGTCATTGCATATATTCTTTTCAGTTCACTCTCTTTGTTGATGTATATGCTGTGTGACTTGTGTCATATCTGTAAATACAGGGAACACAAAAACAGGAAAAAAATGAGCTTCTCTTCCGGGAATTTTGCTTTAATTATAAGACTCTTCATCCAATGTTACGACAAGGAACTTGTCTTTTCAAGACTCAGGTGCACATCTGCTACTGTTTTTTGGATTTTTTTTCCCTTTTCTTTAATAAACTTCTATTCTTTTGCATTGATATAAATTTCAAAATCCATCAAGCTTTGGTCAACTGGCATTTTCTAATTGACTAACTCATTTTATTGAAATTAACTCATCTTATTGAAATAGCATCGCATGAGTGGGCCCAAAACATGGGTTTATACTTGTTTTAGAATTATTAATCATATTCCATTTTAGATCTTTTAGAACTTGTCATTTTATATGTTCTCCTCTGGTAATTTGCAAAGTGTTCCCCAATTCTTCTACATTTCATTCAGGTGACCGGGTATATGAGCAACTTCTAACCGCCCTATTGGAACCAATTTTTTGTTTGACTTAGGGTAGATAAACACAGATGGAGGAGTCTTCTTTTCTTCTTTTAAAAAATGGTTGTATAAGCCCCTTTTAAGTTCTAACTTTTGGTGATATGAACCTTTTTTTTTTCCGAGGGTGGGGGGTGATTATATGGAGCTTTATGTTGTCAGAAATAAGAGTGAGTGGTGTTAATGGTAGTGGCAAATTAACTAAGCCCAAAAAAACCCTGGAAAGGACTCTTTATTACTGTTATAATTTTGGGGCAATAATTATATTTTTTATCTACTGTGGAAGAATTTACTTCTTGTGTCAACACTCATTGGCTCCTTACAAAACCAAAACACAGAAATCTAATTAAACAAAAAAATAAACTAAATATAAGAGGTACTGTTCAAGAGTGCCACTTAAGCTTTCCATGTCACAGTTTAAAATTTCAAATAAAATGTAAATAGAGTTTTAATTTGATTAAAGATACATTCCTTATGGAGTGCCAGTTATCCTTCTCAGTCTCCTTGTAAGTGGTTCAAAGTATACCAATTTGTGATTTTTGTCCGCTGATATAGATTGAAGAGGTTGTCAAGTACAAGGAAAATGGTGATCCTATCAAGAGACTTCGGAAAAAGATGATGGAAGTTCACTCAGATAATATAGCTGGCAAAAGCTTCTGGAATCAGCACTCTTCTCTTCTCTCAGAACTAGGCAGATTTGAAGTAGATATTCATAAAATTAGACCAGAATATGTAGAGTCCTTTCTATTTCAGGATAAATTGATGTTCTCCACTTGGATAGTGGTCAGAATTGATGGTTGCCATTTCCATAGGTAATTGACTTGTGTCATGAAGATTTTTTTTCCTCAATATGAATGTAAGACTGCAAATTAATATAAACGCTTGTTGTACTTGTGATGTATTGTCTCTTCACTATCAGTATGGGCTATGCTTCGTTTAACAGTTAAGGACTAGTAAAAAAGAATGGGGTCCATTGCACACATGATTTTTTCTTCTTCCTGACGATTAAGTTTATGTATCTCAATATAACTGGTGTATGGTGAATCTAGCCTGTTGTTTGGTTCAAAGCTGAGATGGTGTAAATGAATCTTACAACTGAATGTGTTTGACTTTTGTTAGGTTCTCTGATATTCATAAATTTGAGAAGCCCAATGATGAAAAAGCTTTGAAGCTTATGAATTCATGTGCAGCAGCCATTTTGGAAGAGTTTCAAGACATAACCTTTGCATATGGTGTCAGTGATGAGTTCAGGTATTTTGGTTGTTGCTTTCTAGCTACCAACAGTTCTATAATTGCATGAAGTCAAAAAATAATAATTTGCTTGAAGTCAAAAAAATTCTAATTGCTTTTGTTGATGAACAACTTGCAGTTTTGTTTTGAAAAAGGAATCCAAATTTTATGAACGGCAACCCAGGTATGTCTTGGTCTACCCCTTGGCTTCTTATCTGGTGGGATTTGGTGTAAATTTAATTAAAATAATGAAAACATAGGAAATCTTCAAGGTTTTTTAAAATTAAGCTGAGCTCTTTTACCTGTACAGTGGAATAGTGTCCACAATGGTATCATTCTTTTCAACGATGTACATCAGTAAATGGAACGAGTTTTTCCCAGAAACAGAGTTGAAGTATCCCCCCTCATTTGATGGAAGAGCTGTTTGCTACCCATCATCTGAGATTCTTCGAGACTATTTGTCTTGGAGACAAGTTGATTGTAAGTATCATCACTTTTATTTGTCCTGTATGCGTTATGCGTGTAGATCTAATTCACTTCAAAAGTAGTAATTGATTGGAAATATTTTTTATTTTTTTCATGAAATATGTTGTATTTAGTTTGGACTGCTTACCTTTGCAAATTCAGGTCATATAAACAACCAGTATAATACCTGTTTCTGGATGCTGGTAGACTCTGTAAAAAGCAAGCGTGAAGCCCAAAATTATTTAAAGGTACATTGTTCCTTACTAGAACTGTGGCAGCTTGTTTCATATTCTGAATGTGATATTAGTGCTGATTTCTTTTGGCTTAATCTTTTGGAGTAATTTGAACATTTTTTATCTTGTAAAATGCAGGGAACACAAACACAAGAAAAGAATGACTTGCTTGCTCGAAATGGTATTGATTATAATGCATTACCAGATATATTTCGTCGAGGTTCATGTATTTTTTGGGACAAGGTATGGCTCTCCCTCTCATTTGTTGTCTTCCTCGAGTGAAGTAAGTTGTAAATTTTCTCTTTTCGTTGATTTTATCAATCGCGCACATTTTCTTCTTTAGCACTTTGTGTGAAGTTATAAATTGAGTCTGATCATTGGATATGCATGATAAGTCATTTAGTGACAGACCTAATAATGTTCTCTAAGGCAACTGTTTCTATGTGTAGGAAAACAAGGCTCTTATGGAGGTGAATTGTGCTGAAGATTCTAGAAAGAAAATTGTGATTGAACACTGTAACATAATCGATGACGATTTCTGGGATTCACACCCATGGATCCTTGGTGACAAACTCCCTTTGGAGAGTGCTAATACTAGAGCTATGAAGAGGACGTTAGGACAATTGGAGGATCGGTAAACTAGCAGATTAGATATATTTTGAGTCATGTAACAATGCCCTTTTCTAATAAGACAATTTAGGAAACAATTGAGCTTCAAAATGTAAAATATACGAAGTATGTAGGTATGCATTAAAAGTTACGGAGTTATATAAAAGTTATTGTCCAACATGCTCGAAATAGATAAGATTGATGCATTTTTGTCTTTGTGCTAATTACCAACTGTACAAACAATCTTGTAAATAACTACGAGTAAATAATACTGTAACATCCTTTGGCAAATCGATTAATCGATAGTGATGGTCCTTCCTAACTCCAATTTTTTCAAATTTTCACAATTAATAAATGAGTTAAAAAAATTAAAATGAACTACCAATTTTAGAAAAATGACTTCTTATAATGGAAAGATGAAAGTATATCATAATACTACTTATTTCCCTTTTTTTTCCATATTTTTTATTGGGTGTTTAAAGAGTCATAAGTGCGGACAATGAGAATCAATCTTAGGATTTCTTGGAACCGGGAGAAAAACTTTAACCGCCCGAGCTATTTCTCACTCCTTTCCTCTCACTCTCTTTTTCCATATTTTTTGAGAATTACTTCGTATAATTATGAACAATAATTATGGTGAGAAATATCAGAATTATAACTTGACTAACCTACAATGAAGGTTGCCTCGTATTAAGTATAGATCATGAGGTGTCAAAAATCGACCCAAACAAAAATCAATTTAGATTTTAACTTGTATGGACATAATAATTTACTAATTTAGCGCCTGTTCCGATTTACTGAAAACAACTTAACTAATTGGGGCTGAATTGAACTAAACTAAACAGAATAAAACTGAAATAAATTGTTTATGAGAGAAAGAAATTAGGAACTGAACTATATTGAACTGATTGTAACTAAAGTGAACTGAAAATTGAATTAAAATTAAGTTGAATAGACCCTTAGCATAACTCATTTGAAATAAACCAAAAATAAAAAATTGAAAAGAACCTCGTATATTTTTCATCATCGAAGTTGTCAACCAAAAACCACAAAACGAAGCCCTTTCTGCATTTCCATGTCGATTGCTGGCGTCCAGGGTCAACTTTTGGAAGTTACAGGTCAATACTCATTTATAACTAACACTAAAACCTTTGAAAATCCGCTTTATTTATTTTTAATATTACGGTATTTATGTTTCTTTTTAATCGAATCAAAATATAATACTTTAATCAAATCAAAGTATTAATTAGGATTGTTTATTCGTCAAAATATTGGTTAACTGATAGATTTTTCTTGCATTATTATTGTTTGCAGTTGTTGGATGTAACAAATTGAAAGATACAGAATGGATTTCAAGACAGGATCCTTATGTTTGTCTTGAATATGCTAGCAATAAGTTTCGAACCCGCACTTGCACAGGTTAATTCCTCTCTTTTTGCATAATTTATTATCTGGGTTTTTAATTTTAATTGAATTTGATTAATGGGTTGTTTAATTAATCTTGAAATTTTCAAATTTTGTGATGTGGGTTTATTTCTTTTTACTGTATAGATGGAGGGAAAAACCCAGTTTTTCAGGAGAAGTTTTTATTTACACTAATTGAGGGTCTTAGAGAGATCGATGTTGTTGTTTGGAATAGCAATACTCTCACTTTAGATGATTACATAGGCAGTGGAAAGTAAGTTCTTGAATTTTATATACAATTTCGAGTTTTTTTCCAAGTATTTGGGATGAGATCATGAGATTATGGGGAAATTGAGCATTTTAAGTGAAACCCTTTTCTTGTTTTTAGAGTTCAACTTCATGATGTTCTTTCCCGTGGATATGATGATAGAGCTTGGCCTCTTCAGACTAAAACTGGCCGGTATGTCTCTATGATCACGCTCTCAATCTTGTTTTCGGGATCATGCTGATTTTAGTCTTTTGTTGAATTGTTGATGTTATTATTCTTACTATTGAAGTGTGTTGGTTAATGCCAATTCTATTTAATTGTTTAGCTTTATAATAGTAAATGATATAGTTACTTGAGGAGCATGATCATAGTGTGAAGCTTTTGCTGCTAATGAGAAGTGTTAAAGAGCAGTGGTTTTTGTTGATCATAAACAGCCTTAAGTTGGTTAAGACTGCATACATCTAGAACTTATCCAACCTTGCCTTAGCAGAATAAGTACTGGATTCTTGTTGTTTTTTGTTGTAGCTGTTGTCTGAAGAATTTAAGTTTATCACTAGGTAATGAACTACATATAAGAAGTTGTGGCTAATATGGAAAGAAAAATAAGTGATTGAACCAAGAGGTTGGAGGTTTATATTGCTTGTGCTGTTACAAGGAAGAAATCATTGAAGTCTTCTTGTTTATTATCTATGATTATTGATCAATATTTTAGCATCTCTGTTGTGCTGAAGTTATGATTGCGTAGAGAAATCAATGGGTGATGATAAATTATGAACTATAAGGCCCAAGGGAGCCTTGTCAGACCATGGGCAGATTTGAGGTTTGGTTTGGAAGGTATATATGAAGCCGCTGATAAACATGGAAAGAATTCACCATCTGCCTTGATGCTTGTTTAGACGATGTGGGTTGTACTCGGAGTCATTTAAAAGAAGCAGATGGATGATCAGCACTCAGCAGGCAATTTTACCATGACAAGTGACACTTGGTGGAAAACGAAGGTTAAAATGTCAAAGTAAAGCACCTTAGAAATAACACTAATTTGAATTAGTAGTAAGAAGTATGCTTGCTTGAGCTATTGTGTATATGTCCCATAAACGTCCCCTGTACCTGGCTTTTCCATGAATTTACTGCATCATTTGTGGCAACTTTGATGATAATGGTGTTTTATTACAGTTACCTTATTATCTTTGGTTTTATTCTGGTTTATATTTTTTTATAGATACTTAAAAAAATACTTGGGAGAGACTTAATATTGGAGTGATTTTAATCAATATGTCATGGATTGGTTGGTTGTCAAGTTTGGCTGTTTGGTACAGCTGATTGTGATTTTTGTGAAGGTTTACCAATTGCTTTGTGTGTTTACAGGAGAGCCATTTGTAGCTTTCCTGGCAACTTTGGGATTTTCAGTTAGGAATTAGGACGTGATTCAGATGATAATGTGGATTCAGACTGTATTGCCTAAACAATAATGAGCTGTGATGCTTGTGAATGTAAATGAGGTCATTGTTTTAAGGCCTGATTTTTCCTCTAAGCTTCATTGTTAGATAAAAAACTAGAAACTTTAGTCTAGGTGTATCTGTGAAGGCTCGAAAACTCAATAATCCTTTGTTCCTCTTGAGTTATATAATGATTGTTCTGTATTTTGCCCTTATTCACAAACATGATACTGGCATTGCATAGGAAGTAGGAAGTTATCTTTTTTGCTGCAATGCGAGCTCCCCACATCCTCATTTATATAAACTACAGATGGCCTTTGAACTTCGATTACATATATCATTAATGAGAGCGTCAATTCTGTGCTCCTCTTGACGTAACTCTGTCGGTAAAAGTTGCATGTAAGCTATTTCATCGTTTCACTGTGAAATCTTTTGAGCGGAACTGTTCGAGTGTGGGAGTGTAGTTAAGACACCTATTTAAATTTTATGGAGAATGATACAGCATAATGCTAGTTTAGAGAAATCTTCAAATTTCCAGTCCACTGTCTGTGCAATTCATCAATGAGTACTTCTTTGCTTTCTGTTCCATTTTAACTTAACTGTTATATCGTATTGCAGACATGCTGGAGAAGTTAAATTGATTATGCATTTTTCCAAAACCAATGTAAGCTCATATTCAGCCTGAAATCCCTGAATCTCTATCAGATCTTTCCCTGTATTATCAGTCTATCATGACAATAAACAGATAATCTTGCTTTATTGCAGAAACCATGTGCAAGCAGTGCTCCTTCAGCTCCACCTTATGGTGCATCACCTCAACCTCAATTATCTATGTACTTAGCTCCTCCAGCGGGTTCAATGTCTTATATAAATACAACCTCAGCCTACCCACCCCCTCCAAATGCCTATCCTCCTCCACCAACAGCTTACCAACATCCACTGCCTGCATATCAGTCTACTTCACCTTATCCGTATCCTCCTAATCCATCAGCATACCCATCCTATCCATATCCGCCACTCCCAGATCATTCAGCATATCCTCCGTCTGCATACCCACCACCTCCTTCAGCATATCCTGCTCCATTATATCCTCCACCTCATCAAGCTCCACCTTATCCTCATTCAGGTTTTATTCATCTTCGTATATTCCACCTTTTTTTTTTTTGGTACATCACTGTTGCTCATTCTATATTTTATATTCTTGATATAGGACATCACCCTGGAATGTACCCTCCTCCACCATACTGAAGAGACGGAAGTGTTTGATGACAAGACACGCCAATCTGCTTCGGTAACCTCTTTTTTATGTGTAAACCGTTTAAATCAATGTACTATAGCTGTTAAGGCTGTTTTGCTATTGAATTCAATGGCAAAAGTATTCTTTACAACTGTTCATATTGTGGTATGGGCTGGTATAAGTTGACATTAATGTATTTGATGATTAGAATTTTGCTTTCATTTTAGCTATGAAAACATCTGATTAATGTTGTGGTGTAGTGGCTATATGTCTCACATAGGTTATGTTTACAATGAAAATAGGCTCTCGTTAGATGTCACTGCAGAAACTGGAATTTAGCTTATAAAGTAGGTCTCTAGTTGTAGTCCCCAACCCCAAAAGTTTCCTTATATAGAAAGATTAGAAACTGTACCAGGAACCACTGAATACACGGGGAAAAAGTTTTGATGTAGCTTCAAGATAAGAGTTTCCCCTATTTCACCCTCTAAGCGATTTGAACACAACTGAATCTAGAACCTTGTTCTATAAGTTTTTGACTTGAATTGGAAGCTCTTTTGAGGCAGTGAATAGCTCTCGGAATTGTGTAATGATCTTTAATGGCATATTGAGTATGACAATGGACATAATCTACACTCTACACTTCTACAGTGAGTGTTAGGAAATTGGAGCTAATTCCAACAGGCTTATTTGGAGGCTTTAACTCATTCCAGGATTCCTTTGCCAATGAGGAACCAAACAGGATCTAGAGCTTATATCGCTGTGGTTTGGAGTGGCGACTAATTTCTGTTGACACAATCACACATGGGGCAACAGTTTAACACTGCCAAGGCTGAAAGGGGGTTGTTGGCGCAATAATGCTAGATGCCCTGGATGAAAATTTTAGCCTTATGGGAGTGACTTGGGTCCATAATGGTGGCTCTAGACCTTACATCTTACCATA